AATATTTTACGAGATATTTTAATTTTTATATCAAAATATGTCAGATTAAAATATAAAATAACTCAAAAAGTACTTAATGAAAAAATACTTTATTGTAGTGTTTTGAAAAGCTTTCGAGATAAGCTACAAGAATATGCAATAAAAAATGGGGGGTTCCATTTAAGAAAATATCGATCACATTAACTTGGCCTTGAAAATGTCACTCAAGGTCAAGTCCATATTTTCATCATGTGACCCTCTCTGAACCCTACAACTTTTGTATAAAACATTTTTTTCCATCTTGTTTATTTTACGAGATATTTGCGTGCGTTGATTAAAATGACTCACCCTGTATATATATCAAACACAACAGGATTAACGAAATGATAACTGCACATGTTAATATAGATTTATATTAGCTTCAGCATGCTTGTTATCTTATAGTAATTTTTTTTTGTAATTGATCGCTGGTGCAAAGAAAATTTTTTACTGTTTCGGGATTTTTACATCACTATACATTAAAGCTTTATTACCGGTGTGTTATTTATAAATTACTTTATATCTCGCTATATAAAAAATGTGCTTTTCCGGATTTTACTTTCTGCGTGAAAACAATCACATGTACATATTATAATCTTATCATTGAAAGATTTCTTTTGATTAATAAAGTTATATTTAAATTCCCTCTGAGTGTGTGAACAATTTAGAAACAAAAACGTAAAATAATCACGGAAAGTTAAATATCTAATGATTAATGATTGAATTGTTTTAACGCTTAATGAGGATTTGTTCGGCCAAATAATATTAATTGCACAAAGCGACAAGGGCAACTCGTGTCTACTCATTGTCTGTTGGCGTCGACTGATTGCGCAGCGCTTACACGGAAAGCCTCGTGATCGCTGTAATTTGTCTGTCAAATTGCCTGCCAATCGCATACGAGATACGTATACCAATTTGTACAGGTCAACACGATGTGTCAGTCCTCCTTCTCTTTGCGTCTGTCCTTTGCACTTCCGCATCCGATTAAATTCCGGTTTTAGACGGTGAGAACGTCATAGTTGTCGAGATAACAGAGACGTGTTTAAAATGATTTAACATGCAAATTTGTACCTCTAGAAAAGAAGCTATCACAACTTTTAGTTCCATTAGTCTTTAAACGACAAAGTTTAATGAGAGCAATTAAAAGTTTGCAAGTAAAAATTATTTAAACGATAATATATGTATGAGATGTTACACTAAGATCCTTATAATGTATTCACAAGCAAGATATCACAAAATAATTATATATTATATTAATTATATATTAAATTTGCATGTATATATAAAATAAGACATTATCTGAAAATAATAAATAATAAAAGAAAAAAATATATAAAGAGAATTTCTGTAATATTGTACTGTTATTTAAAATATGAAATGATGTTTTCACAAATATTTCATTTGTTTGTTAATTTTATAAACGGATAGAATATCGAGGGTTTCTATTTCGATTTGCCTTATTATGGTTCATACAGACAGGCACATTAGCCGATTGCATTGAATCGTTATCTCATATTGATTGCAGTTCGAACAGTTAGCTTTTACGTGGATGGAACGTCAGAAGCTAGGCGGTTCGTATTCGTCGCACAGAGCGCAGAGCGAGAAGCACGTAGTAGTTTGCAGTACGACGTTGCAAGCCGACACTATCATGGACTTTCTAAATGAGTTTTACGCCCATCCTCTGCTGCAGGTTAGACGACAAACGAATTACGTTTCTGTGAATATTTTATTTTACGCCAAATGATTTGTGATTTTATAAAAATTCTATCTCGAACTTTCGATTTATCATCAATTAAAATGAATAGGACATTTAATTTTGAAATGTCGTTGAATTTAGATTTAATGTTATAAGTAACACAATTTACGAATATCACCAATTTAATTGAATATAATCAAAAATAGAATTATTATTTTTATAATTTATAAAAATAATTAAAAGGAATTAAAAGGCATTAAAAGGAAAAACAAGAATATTATATTAATTAATTACACTACATATATGTGTATTTGTTTTTGCTTATTTTATTATTTTTAACATTAATAATCGGTAGTGACCTGAATATGACAATTACGTAACAGGATTATTACGTGGTGCTTCTGTCGCCGATGGAACTTGATACCACAATGCGAATGATCCTGCAAGTGCCGATCTGGGCACAGAGGGTGATTTACATACAGGGCTCGTGCTTAAAGGACGGCGATCTCGCGAGAGCTAGAATGAACGAGGCGGAAGCCTGCTTCGTGTTGGCAGCGAGAAATTATGCCGACAAGACCGCTGCTGACGAGCACACGATACTGAGGTCAGCGATCGTTGAAAACATTTAAATTTAAACTTCTTACATCTTTAACCGCCGTTGAGAAAATTCGATTCGGCCACGATTATTTTTGCTGCCTAATAAACTTTTTCTTTCACAAGAAATAAACATTGAATAATCCTAATATTTTCTCCGACGATCTATTTCGCGAACTTCGAACACGGTTGTTTAAGTTTTACTTCCGAATATAATAAAAATCAAGAGATTCCTCGTTAATTGTAATCGTTTAAATTTTCTTTATTTTTGAATACAATTTTAAAGCGCAGTTTAAAGTGCAGTTTATAGCGCTCGGGCACGCGCGCATCTCGCAACATAGTTAAATATCCTGAATATTAAGATAAAAAGAATCCGTAGATAAAAGATAAATTCGAAAAATCTAATATCCTTGAGTGGTGAAACTTTCTTTTCAGAATATTTCACAAACTTTTTTTGCCAGTATACAACACTTTAAGAGTTCAAAAAATATATACATATTTATACATTCTTGTTTATATAATATTTAACAGAAATATGTTTGACAAAATTCAAGTTTTACTAGCATAATTTTAAGAAAATTTTATTTGATTATTGTAGATCGTGGGCGGTAAAAGATTTTGCGCCTAGTGTTCCTCAGTACGTTCAAATCTTCCGTCCGGAAAACAAGCTCCACGTGAAGTTTGCGGAGCACGTGGTATGTGAGGATGAATTTAAATACGCTCTATTGGCAAACAATTGCACATGTCCCGGTGCATCGACGTTAGTCACCCTGTTGCTGCACACGTCCAGAGGACAGTAAGTTCTTGTCACAAATAGAGCATTCAAAGCATAACAAATTGAACTGCGCCGGTATTACATAAGCAGAGATTTCACAGTACACATATAATCACGTGGATTATTTCTAGATTTTGAATATGTCTTTAGTTTGTGATTTATTTAGTTTATCTAATATATATATATTAATTTTGATTTATGAATATTTCAAGTGAACTTTATTTTATCGTTGCAATAATAAATTTTTTTAAATTTTTGTACACGCGGGATTATAATATTCGATAAAATGATATAATGCAATAAAGTATATTATTTTTACCATTACTCTGCGTAACTACATCGTCACTGTTACATAATATGTCGCACGAAGACGGGAAAATTTTGAAACAAAATTTTTCTCTTTATAGAGAAGGCCAACAGTCGCAAGAAGAGTGGCATAGGCTGTACGGTAAATGTTCCGGCAACGAGATTTATCACATAATTCTCGGTGACTCTCGCTTCTTCGGGGAATACGAGGGAAAATCCTTCACGTACGCGTCCTTTCACAGTCACCGGAAATATGGAGTTGCTCTAGTCGCAGTCAGACCGGCGGAACTTCCGGAATTTTACGAAGATACCATTCTGCTGAATCCTGGTAATCCTGCGACACTATCGGAGACACAGACGGTGTCTCTTTCTTTTCTTTCTCTCTCTCTCTCTCTCTCTCTCTCTTTGTCTCTCTCTCTCTCTCTCTCTCTCTCTCTCTCTCTCTCTCTCTCTCTCTCTCTCTCTCTCTCTCTCTCTCTCTCTCTCTCTCTCTCTCTCTCTCTCTCTCTCTCTCTCTCTCTCTCTCTCTCTCTCTCTCTCTCTCTCTCTCTCTCTCTCTCTCTCTCTCTCTCTCTCTCTCTCTCTCTCTCTCTCTCTCTCTCTCTCTCTCTCTCTCTCTCTCTCTCTCTCTCTCTCTCTCTCTCTCTCTCTCTCTCTCTCTCTCTCTCTCTCTCTCTCTCTCTCTCTCTCTCTCTCTCTCTCTCTCTCTCTCTCTCTCTCTCTCTCTCTCTCTCTCTCTCTCTCTCTCTCTCTCTCTCTCTCTCTCTCTCTCTCTCTCTCTCTCTCTCTCTCTCTCTCTCTCTCTCTCTCTCTCTCTCTCTCTCTCTCTCTCTCTCTCTCTCTCTCTCTCTCTCTCTCTCTCTCTCTCTCTCTCTCTCTCTCTCTCTCTCTCTCTCTCTCTCTCTCTCTCTCTCTCTCTCTCTCTCTCTCTCTCTCTCTCTCTCTCTCTCTCTCTCTCTCTCTCTCTCTCTCT